TTACGAACTCATCGACCAACCCAATATTCTTCTCCCACCAGCCGCATTTCCTGCCGCAGTCGCGGCGGCGGCGGCGGCGGCGGCGCTACAACAGGTGATTGTTGAAAAACTGTCCCCACATCGCCCGTGCGTGCATACGCATTTCTCGCATGCGTGCATGCGCGCATGCGTACGTGCGTGCGTAGCCGATGTCCAGGCTCGTTCACGTGCCCGTTACACGAGGAGTCGTCCTCCGGACGCTTGTTCGCTCCAGTCGCGATAGCCGCGCGCGACCGCGGGTGGCCCCCGGTCTGTGCCGGTTCTTCAACTATGCGACCCAACAGCAGGGCCCGCCCGGCGATCTTTTTCTTCTTCGTCTCCCCTCGTCCCTCCTCTTACTTTTTCTTTTTACCAAATTAAGAGAACCCGGAAGGCGGCGACCGACGCCCTGAGAGGAGAGGTCCTCCCAGCGCCGCGCGCCCGAGCGCTTCGCCGAGAAAAACCTGTCCGTATCACGGAACGAACGACCTGCATCCATCCGCCCGGCGTGCATCATCACGGCCGCGTACCTGCGCCTGCATCTCCCTCCCCTGCCCCCTGCCCTCTCGTCTTTCTCTTCATCTTGATTTTCTTCTTCTTCTTTTCCCCCCTCTCCCCCCTTTCTCGTTTCTTGCTGCTTCTCTTGCCCGGCCGTCTCGTCGTCTCGTTTCTTTCACGGAACCGTCGGAGCGGCACAGCAAGAGGACCAGCAGGAGGAAGAGGAGATGCAGGGCGAGGGGGAGGAGGACGCTTCGAAACGCCTCGCGCGATCTCGCACCTCCGTCCGCGCGCTCGCGCGACGCAGGAAGTCCTTTCTTCCAGATTTTGCATATCCTTTCAGCCGCGGCACGGCATATGCTCTCCTCTCAATTTCGGCGCGGACTTCTCCGAGCGGCGCGCTCTACCGGGACGAGTCACGCGAGACGAGTCGCCTCTCTTCTTTCTCGCGCCTCTCCCTCCGCCGCTGCCAGGATTCCTTCCGGCCGCGGTGTTAGAGCGTGGATCTTATTCTCGGTGCACGTTGAAAGCACGTTGACTTCACTGCCGCCGCGTCGCCGTGAACGCGTCGTGTCTCTGCAGAAGAATCGTGCCTTTTCTCGCGCCTCTTCCCGGGCGGAAGTTCCCAAATCCGACGCGAATCACGCACGGCGATTCTATCCGATTATCATCGATAACAGTCCGAAGCGTTCAGCCACTGATTCGTTGCGCTAGTCGTTCAATTGAATAATCGTTTAGTCCATTTAGTCCTTCGAATATATTACTTACTGTTCGTGACTCGGCGACCGCGCGTATACTTCTTTGATCTCCAGTCAGATGTTAAAATACGACGACGATAACGCTGATAACGGCGACTGTGTGATGTTGACGATAGCGATAACGACAATAAAATAATAACTGTATCAATGTCAACATAATACTATTGATAATAACGAGATGGTATGATGTAATACCAAAAAGCTAACATAAACATATTAAATAATATAATTAAAATTAAAAATAAAGATAATCTAAAAATTCCAGCTACGTTCGGTTGTGAGAGGGCAGTGAACGTTATTTCTTGGCGATAAGCCATAATTATTCGGGCAAGGCCTGTGGGAGAAAGTACGCGATTCCCGAGAAAATAACGGCGCTCTTGGTCGAATGAAGAGTCCCGGGGCGGCGCGGCGTCGGCTGCGTCGCGACTCGTCCTCAAGAGGTTTATCCTAGCTTGGAGTTTTCGAGCGCGCCGGAGTTAACCTCGAGGCGCGATACGTGGTAGGTGGTGGCGGATGGTGAATGCCACGGTGATTCTGCGCTATCGAATCGGGATTTTTCTGCCGCCGTCGTCGACGCGGTCCGTCAAGGTTTCGATCGGTTCTCGGAACGCAAACTGCGCGATATCGCGAGACCTTGCGAGCTCAACTTCGCGCGCCCCCAGGTCGCTTCCTCGCAGATCCTCGTCTTTCTCACGTTCTCCTTCCTCGTCGGCGTTACCGCAAGCTTGTCTCTCTCTCTCTCTCTCCCCCCCCCTCTTTCTCTCTCTCTCTTTCTCTCTCTCTCTCTCTCTCTCTCTCTCTCTCTCTCTCTCCCTCTCTCTCTCTCTCTCTCTTTCTTCCAATTCTCTCCTCGTGTGCTCTTTTCCTTCACTTATTTCTCCGGCTATGCCTCTTTCAACGAGTTAAGCCTCACCTAAAGTTCCGTTCACACCGCGATAAGTTGCGTTGAGATTATCGACATTTGACGAGAGATGCGGGAAACGGACGCCGCCACGTTTCTTCTCGTGTATATTGTTTATTGTTTGATCACTCTCACGCATTCTCTATTCTTTTTTGTCCTTTCCCTTATTATTCGTGCATTTTATTCTATTAATTTGTTTATTTATGTTTGACATTGGTGAAGTATGTATCATAAAATTTCCCTCTGAAATCTCGCTGAAAATGAACGAAAATTCGACACGAGTAATAAAAACGTCGCGACAAGAATGTTCCAAGAGCTTGCGGTACACTTTTTATTCATACGAGTGAGAATGACTTCAATCGACTGAGACGGACTTGTTCACGCGATGATGCAGCACGTTAGATCCATCTTTCAGTTTCAAATGAAAACGTTCATTCGGTTCAGAGTGGAGAATTCACTACGAGTGGAAAGCTCGAATTCGAGTGGGACTTCACTCGGAGAGATTTAGAGAGTAGAATATTTTATTCTATTCTGCTTTTTGTCAATCTCTCCGTGACAACTGTAAAGTGACTAGCACGTCGTCGTTTCATGATGTTTCCCACCGAGTTGTCTGCATCCTCATGCTCGAAACATTGTTGACCGACGGTGTAGGTGCAGCCTAAAGATGAGTCCGGTATACCTTGAGACTCGAGATATGCGCCGCTGTTAAATTACATCCTCACAAACGAAGCGTTCCCTCACGTTCCGTTGCAAAAGTACCGTCTTCCAGAACGCTCGTTTCTTTCATTGCTTTCCGAGCGGATATACCACCCGGGAGAGAACGTTCATCCGATGTGAAATACAGGACAGGATAGGCAAGTTTCACACGAATGAGAAGGAGCCGATACGGCTGAATCGAGCACATCGCCGAGAATTTCGTTCGAAGGCCTTCGCGGTAGATTTCTATATTCGCTCGATCTTCTCATCCTCCGTCGATACAATAATCTTCGCTTCCTTTCGTCTCCGTGACGTCGAAAATCGCGAGGAGAGCGCGAATTTCGTCCGAGAAAAAGTAAAGGAAAACAAATCTCGCGCGCAGAAGATCCACGAAGATCCTGCGTGACCGGCGACAATAATAACAAAGGAGCCACCGGTACGCGTCGCATCGAGTCACGATTGTTATGCCGGCCAAGCGCGAAGTCGCGGACCGCAACATGACGCCGCGGTCGCGACGCTGCGCCTCTCTGCCCGCTCGCCCGTCTTTATCCCCGTTGCGTAAGGTAAACGAACCAATCTCTGAGCGGTTAAGGGCACTGTGAGAGAATGTGAAGTGAAAACCTGGATACGACGGGAACCTTTTCGGGCGATTAACGTGTGAAGAACGGACTATCTTTTTTTTTTTCTTTTTTTGGAAGTCTTGAAAGTAAATTAGTTGCATATTAATTCTGCAATAAATATGTATAACATTAAGCAGGACATTTCATAAGGCAAATGATGTTGATGTTTGGAGATATGTGTTTTATTTAATAAGTTTCCGATCAATTTTCAGGCAAATTAAACCTATATTTTATGCTTCATTCTAATTCTGATTGTTGTTATTCAAAATAGCCTATTTAATTTCATAATTAATTTGTTTCTCTCTCTCTCTCTCTCTCTCTCTCTCTCTCTCTCTGTTTTCACAACTGGAATTAAAATGTAGCATAAGGTCCAATTTGTCAGCTCCGTCAGAAATTCATTGCATACAAAGTTTTAATATTCTTATACAGAATTTCCTACAAGAATACCAACATCATGATATAATCATAATACACACGAGTATTATTTTTTTCAATTTCTACAAGTGCAGCAGTTAACCTTTGAACACTAAGACGTTTTTGTTACTTCCTATTACTAGGATGGGTGAATGTGTTCACCCTATAATTTTTTATTATTTCTTCGAGTGTACATGAACTATAAATATTTGGTAAAAATTTGCAACAGTGTGTAAAACAGTTTTAACTCGTAGACAATTTTTTGAAAGAAAAATAATCTTTCACCGTTAGAGAAAAAACTTTTTTATTTGAGCGTAAACTATTTAATAGCAACAATTAAGAAATATCGTCGGATGAATTTTTACCCATCCTCGTGTCTAAAGCCCGTGTCACACTACGGATTGAAGATCAAGGATTGCAGATTGAAGATTGAAATTCCGACCAATCGGAATAAAGCGAATCAAAACCGAAGTTCGTTGATTTGTCGAAATCTAATCTTCAATCCGTAGTGTGACACGGGCTTAAGGGTTAATTACTCTACACGAGGTGCAAATTTACGGGGGAAAGTGATAAGTAAGACACACTCTAGATACCGCGGCTGAAACTCCAACACGCAGGTGTTGAACGCTTTTGTCCCGACTTTTGTCGAAACTTTGCTCTTATCCTTATCTAAAAAACGAAAACGACCAAACTGACCAGAGCCAGGAGGGACGCGCTCCCAGGTATCGGCGCTTTTACCGTGCGTACACGCGCGCGACTCCCTCGTGCGTGCGTGTACGCGTCTACGCGTCCCAGGGCGCGCGGTATGCATGCAAGTTCATAGGGACGACCGGGCCTCCGCTCCTCTCCGCCTCTCTCGGCTCGTGATGCTGGTTCCCTCATACCGTTCTGCCCCCCCCCTGCCTCTGCTTCTTGCCCCGGGGTCGTCGTCGGCGTCCCTTCATTTCCCTACCCTTCGTTTTCCCTTCTCTCTTCATGCTCCCCTCCCCTCCCTCCACCTCCTCTCACTTCTCTCCTCTCTTCGCATCAGCAGCAACGACCGCGCGTCATGGTAGGCCCTCTACACCGTCGCGCGGCGGGCGCCTCCGTGCCGAGTTCCAACCAGTTGGTAGACAACCGTCGTCCGGGGAGCGCAGTCGACGTCGCTCTCCAGGTAGCAATTCCCCGAGCGCGCGCGTCACGTCGCGTTGTATCCTCCCGAGCTACTGTGCGACGATGCTGTAGCGCGCGCGTCGCCCACGTGCTGTTACCTCGGTGACGAAGGACTTGCCTACGTGTATCCTTCTTTCTCTCTTTCTAATTCGCGCGATCGACGCGAGTGCCGGCCGTGTCGTCGCTCCCTCCCACGTGATACGCGCCTCGATAATCGATAGATACGGAAGATATACCCGCGGCTGTGATCGCGCTCGTCGGCGGAGGGAAGAGAGGGCCGGGGAGGGAGACAAAGGAAGCGAGGCGGAAGAGGGAGAGAAAGAGTTGCAGGTAGAAGGGGCGGCTTGAGAAGTAGGAGAGAACCACGCGGATTTCTCGCTCGGTCAACTGCGTGTGTTGCTACTGCTGCTGTTGCGGCTTCGTCGGGAGCACATTAGAATGTAACGAGCGCTCGCGATAGACGAACGTGCGGCGCGACGAGAGAGAGGGAGAGAGAGAGAGAGAGAGAGCAGCGTAAACATGGTCGTGTAGCAGTGGATCCAGGTCGGTCTGTCGTCGGCAGGTCACGCACTCGGTGGTAATTTCGCGTAAACAGCCGCGAGCTACCAGAGCCCGCGTGCGCGCGAGGGATCGCGCGGTCGCCACGTAGAGAGGATGGTAGTGTGCTCGAGCAAGTCGACGTAGAAGTGCTCGTCGGTGTGAAAAAAGTTAGAGCACGTGTTAGAGAGAGAGAGAGAGAGAGAGAGAAAGAGGGAGTATCGATTCGCGATCGAGTACTCGCCGGTATCGGTTTTCCTCCCCCCTTCGTCGCCCTTGCCGCACCGTCGGTCATCTTCTTGCGGGAATCGTCGCTTATGATGGATATCGCACCGAATGGATTGCTCATGCCGGCCAAGACTGGCGATATCATCACTTATCACTCGTCCTTCTACTCGCCGCCACCCACGGAAGCGTAAGTAATCGAAACGATTGGATTCTCTCATTCTCGCTTCGCAGTTCTGCCCGTCTTTTTCTTTCACCTTCGGAGGAGGGAGCGAGCATATTCGCGACTTCCTCCTGCGCCACGGTGATTTGTCTCGTTGGAGCAGATTGTTTGTCTCATTAGAGGAGTCCGTTAGCGGAAGGTGTCGCTCTCAAGGATGAGATTTGTACTGCGAGCAGTTTTATACGAAGCGATAACAAAGAGCGCCGTCTCGTAATCGAAGGAATGAATGTTTAACTCGAACTTAGAGTCAGTTTTTTATCCATGCGGCAGGATGTTTTAGTCGACTGAGGTGAATTCGTTCCTGCGACGATGGAGCACGTTAGATCTTCTCTTCGATTTTGAGCGAGGACATCATTTTTAACGGCTCAGAGTGGAGAATTTGTTTTTCAGCGTAAAACCGCTCAAATTCAAGTGACTAGGGTGTTACTGTAATTTTTGAATGGAATCTTACTCCAAGTAATTCAGGAAGCACCAAGCTTATATCAGACTATGTATTTTAGAAGGTATGGGAGGGTTTGAGGATTGGAATTAGATCTAGATGAATCGAAAATAATTCCTCTAGCCCTTCTTTTCCATACAAAGAATCTGTAATTTCCCTAAGAAGATATCGAGATACGATTAGAAAGGATTATGAAAGCTAGAATACATCAAGTCGTCGTACTGAGAGAAGTGTTTGATATTTACGACAAAATTTTGTAATAATAATCGAACTTGTAACTAAATTCTGTTGTATAATGTTAAATTTGCAACTAAAATAATAATAATAAAAGAATCATGGAGTCGATTATTATTTTCATAATGTTACTAGTGGATGCCAATGAAGTTAATAACGTTACATTAAAATATTATTACTGTTTATTCTTTTTAACTAGAACAAGACGGAGAGGTATAGCAACGATGCAACGAAAATAATTTAATATATAAATAATTTTCTAGCGATCATTCTTCTCTCTCATTGCCCTTTCAAGATAGGAAACCCAGCTTCGATTGCCCTGTTCGAGGCGGCGTGTCTTCTCACGGTGTTAACGTTGTTGGTGGAAAAGCGATGTTACAACCTACGGAGACCCAATCGAAAGATAAATCGAAATACTTATTGATAAATTCGAGGAGGGTCGGTTCTCCGTAGCGGAATGAGAGAGCGGCACGTGGATTCGGGGAAAGGCTCGCGGCTAGCGTCTGTTTATCAAACATCTGGGATTATTCTCTCTGCGATCGATATTTATCGGCGACATCACGTCGCGGTTTTCTCGTGCGATGCGTAAGCACCGTAATCAAGCAGAAGTGTCGTAATCGTTCAGGGCCAAATGGCAGATAACACGGCCCCGATACTTGCGCAATCGATTCTCGTGCGAAGACGGAAATGTGCGAGGTGAAAACATTCGAGAGCGCTGAAACGGCTTCGAGCGTTGTTTTCGCATTGTACTTCAAGTTTGCACAACTCACTCGCGTGACCCACTCGATCGTCCTGTTCAAACGCGGGAAATGCATTAAAAAAGAAAAAAAGCGGTAATGCAAAATCTGAACGACCATGCGTCGTTCGAACGATCGAAAGCACGAAAGCACGTCAGGGGACATATTACGGACTGAAGATTGCAACTCGCCAGCGGTCAGCTTGACGAGGCGAGCCGATTATTTTCGACAAGAAAGAAATGCATCGCGTCTTGCTGAGCGGCGGACGTTCGCAAAGTGCGCGCTGCGTCTCGCTCGAGTGAGTTTTATCGCTCGGGACTTGACGAATATTCATGATCGATGTGACCGCGATGTCACGTGTCGATATCGCTCGTTCACGCACATGCTTGTAATGGCGTAATGGTGCGCGGTATATGCGCAGCGGCCGGCGGAAGTGCGCTTGTGCGATGCTGATATCAAAGGATGCGGCGTTATCGCGAAGGAGATTGTGGAGGAGAGAGAAGGAGAGAGAAAGAGAATAAAACGAAAAAGAGGCAGAGAGAGAGAGAGAGTAGCCAGCCTCAGCGCTCTCTCGTTATCTTCACCGTTGATCTCAGCAGCGAGTTGCCGTCTTCAAGCTAATTACGTACGTAGAAAAAACTTAAGCGCAAAGTGAATCGGCCAATCACACTCGAGGATTGTGTGTCTCTGTCGTGTGGAATCTCGAGGCTGTGAGACTGCTCGATTCGCTCGTTCGTGTCCCGCTCGTGTTTTTCTGCATGTCACGGCCCTAACTTGTAAGACAGCAGCGGTTCGATACCAGAATCTGGGTTAAATACTCGCGATAGGAGACGGGAGTCGACGAACGGGTCTATCGCGATACTTTGTGTAATCGTCGTGTTTACGCGTCTATCGCCGCAGCGCGCGCTCTCTTCTGACTTCCTCTTCGGTTATTTTGATCCCCTAACGGCTGTCGGTTTCATCGACGAACGGTCTCGTGGTCGCGCTTAATCTCGGCGTCGCCGGCGATATTTGTGCCACCGTAATTGCACAATCCTGGTCAGGGGGGGGGAAGCCGTTCTTATGGTGTGCTCCGCCATGGTGTTTGATCGTATTGATAATAATCGAGTCGTCTGATAAGCGATTGCGGACTTTTCTCAGGTGAAATGAAACGCTTGTACTTTCGTTTGTCATTGTAATTTTCTGAGATAATGCAATTTTTTACGAAATTATAACGACGTAAAGATCGACAGTCGTGTTGTGTCACTCGTCGAAAAATCCGACACGATGTGTTACGTGATTTTACCAATACTTTGTTGTTAGGATAACGAAAAAGCGGGATTGGAAACTTCTCTCGGGTTTTAGTCCGGACTGATGACGACGAGTCCCTCGTATCGTTTTAGAGATGTGAAATAAGGAAAAAACGAGAATGTAATAAAGTAATGATAGATGCGTTTGTCTGATGAATTCCCAGAAGTTAAACGGAAAATGTACGTATTTTATTGTTCTCGGCAGACGCACGTCTCTCGCGAAGATTCAAGATTTGATTCCCACTTGCATTTTCGACGGCGCTACGTGACGCCGAATGATGTAATGTGACAATGTTACTAACCGAGCGATTGTTGTTGCGCAACGCGACGGTGAAACAAACTGCGTCAAACGCGTGCGGTACAACGTGCGGTAATTTATCGTGCCTCGTAAATTCCACGACTCAAGAATGCGACGGGAATGAAGCATTTCTCGTGGCAGTTTTAATCTCGCGCAATTCATATTCATAGAAACGCGTTTTTACCATCTCATTATGTAACGTGCTTGATTAGAGCTCGATTATTCTATGAATATTTAATAACACGGCACAGAGATCGCGATGTAGGGGTTGTGTCAGCGGTTTTTGCCATATATTAAACGAAGATACGGTCCCCGCTTGTTCGAACCCAGGATATCCCGAAGCCTTGCCCTCTTCAGCTAAGAAATCCTTCGAGCGATTTTGCTATCGGCGAATGAATCGAGACAAGTCGGTTACTCGTTCTCTCAATTTTTATTTACTTGTATTTACTTTATTTGCTGAATTAAAAGTGCATTTTTTGGATTTAATCGAAAGAGTCGAATGTGAGAAAATAATGAGGGGCAGAAAGCCGCGAATAATTTGGAAGATGAAATCTTTGTTACAAGACTCTTGGTTCTCATATTTTTGCATTTTTCGTTTCCTCAGTCTTGGCGAATCTCTCTCAGAGAGTTGGAACCTAAAGTCATTCATGTCATCGTCGAGAAATTGTTTGTGTAATTTACAACGAAAGATATCAATGTTAAGCGACATCAGCAGATATTTTTCAGACCGTACATGTTCGTAAAACGAGTTAACATTAGATCTACTAAGCGGTTGGTAATGACTCATATTTATAAGATATATATTAGCAAATGATATACAAAAATGACTCATATTTACATAAGGCAATAGATTAAATTTTTATCAAACGAATAAAATTAAAAGGAATTTTAAAGAAATAAATATTTTTGTGTATCACTTCTTTCTTCTCAACGATCCATCATTTCGACCATGCCGGTCGACAAACAGATCGCGTTAATTGCCGGTAGCTTAACGAAACTAAAAGTAATTAGAGAGGAAGTTATAAATAATTTCAGAAACACGTATCCTCGCAGGTAATATTCGAAAATCGTCGGCATCCACAAGTCTATTGTGAGTCGAGGCTCTCGTTAAAAAAATAAAAAGAATCTGAGTCATCGAAATATCAATCACTATTTTTTGCTTTATGACGTTGGCCTCAAGTCACTATGGAGAACCGTAGTAGGTATCCAAGGACGAGGGAAATCCCATCTCGTCCTTGCCATTCACGTGCCATTTTGCTGAGTCTGCAGATCCTTCTTGACCCTTTTCGAATGTTGTTATTTGATCTTTCCGAAAGAGTAAAGTCAAAATCGTAAATTTTCATGATTTTCTTTAAAACGTGTCTGAAGTTGCGCGAAGTCTCTGATTTCAGAAGGCAACGTGTCTTCGCAAGCCGCCGTTGCCGTCACGACGCGGTGACGCGATCCCTTACCTCGTTCGTTCCGAATTAGAGATTACCGAACCGAGAAGAAAATGACACAAAGTGTCATTTCGCAATCTGTGTAGCACCAACTCTTCGCGCTGCAATCACATCTCGCACTTTATCAATTTGCTGATTGCGAGGCAAAATCGTCATCGTGTATGCAATGTAAACGTGTGCTTCTGTTCTTCCTGAGCCCCAATATCCTGCGCGAGCGTCAATTAACACTAAAATTATCGGCGATTAGCGCGACCTGCTTCTACCGGCAGATTTTTAAAGAGATATATTTCGCAAAGAGAGGAGCAAAGGTGTTTGTTTATTTCGTTTAGTCTTATTTATACACCGTCCACTAAAATATTTTTGAAATTGACGTCTGACATAAAATATGTCGTTGTATAAATTATGTAACGTTACGACAGAGTGTCCGGGATTTTTTGAAAACGAAAAAATTATGAAGATTAATCAGATCAAACTGAGAAGAAAAGTCAAGTTTTCGCATAAATCGCAATTATTAATTATTAAGTAATTGCA